AACCAGACTTTCCAGAGCGGGAAGAAACTGTGCTGAAGCAAGGGCAAAAAACCCCCTTCCTTCCCCCCGGAAAAATATTAAAGCTGACAATCTGATCAGGCTACAGCACACTACTGTCAGGAGAGACAGTGTGAACCACAGATAAAGAATTCTATCTAAACTGTATACAGGAACACTGGAAGGAAGGAGAGACAGGACATGGCACCGTGTCAGGCTAACACAAAGAACAAAGCCTTTACAGAAAGGCAGGGCAGCACATCACCGAGAAGAACCTAAAACCCACTTCCATCCCACAAGTCAATATGTGCTTGTTGAATTCAGGAAGTGGGTTTTGCTGTTTCAAGTACACTTAATACCTGTTTGTTGCTGCCCTACAGAACATTGCTGCATTCCCTCAGCCAAACATTCTATTGTTTGTGTTGGAGCAGAAGTGTTAACAGCCAACTTGTGCCTATCAGTCAGAACCTACTACGGTCAGATGAAAAACACAGGGAAGCACCAGCAGTCTGCCAGCAAGGAGCTGCCCAGCAAGGCACAGAGCTAGCAGGTGTTATTACAGAGACCGTGGAAGTTCAACAAGTTGAGCTTTTCCTTGCCATGATACGCAGTGGCAGAGGCTGCCAGCTATGGCCACCACTTGAAAAAACAAAAGGGAAATCAGCCAACTTCCTCAATATTTTGGTACTAACAACGCAACACTTGCCACAGAAGAGTTCCTGAAGAGGATCAGAGCCAGGAAAGAGTCAGCGTGGTGCCAGGAGAGGAGCACAACAGGACAGAAATCAGTGGTAGCAAGTGACTTAAGAAATGAAGACCTTGCTTTGGGGCTGCCGCCTAGCTGCATTCTTGGGTCAGTTTTGTTCGTGTGCTTTTAAACACCGTCCTCTCCCCTAAGCTCAGGAGACAAGTTAAGTGCTGCCCATCTCCATAGGTGCCCACCCTTACCTGGGGACAGGCAGCCATGGGGCAGGAGTGCCACCTTCCGGCAAGTTGCAGACAGCGCTGCCTCATCTCCCTGGAGCTGGGCAAAGGAGAGGACGCCAGGAGCACACATCCTCCTGGTGCTCCAGAGCCCCCACTCCATCCCCCCTGCTGCTTCTCCGTCCCATGTCCTCCCCTAGTTCACGGGCCACTTAAAAGAGGCAAAAGAAACCACGAAGCATAATCCCATGCAGGCTTTTGGCAATCAAAGGGGACAAGGACTACAGCTGCTCCCAAGACCAGACAGTTCCCCAGATCTTCTCAGCAACGTGCCCCAGATCAAGCTCTGAGCATCCTCCGAAAACAAGCAGAACAGTCACCTGTGGATCAACTCAAAAGCACCCCAGAGTCCAGCAGAACATTCATGAAAGAAAGCTTGATTTTTATTTTTTTTTTAATTTTTTTTTAAATGCTTGCTCCATCTCCTGGCATCAGAGTGTTTGACATCCTGGCCACTCTCAGCAAGATGGTACCCAAGTGTTTAACGGGCCTCGATGGGCCTGTCTTGTGTGAGGTGATCCAGTATTTCTAAGGCAGCAAAAAAAATCTAAGTCCATACAAAGGCAGCAGTGAGTTTCAGAGCTCAACTGGACATGCTACAGAACACTTCCTTCCATTTCAAGCCAGACACACCACCTACAATCCCACTTGGTTTTAAAAATCTCTGTTTACAACCCAGTGCCTCTCTCTCAAGAGAGTCCCAGCAAACTCAAGCTTTCCTCCTGCAGAAGCTAGCCCTGCTCAAACTTCCCATATCTTTCTACCATTTTCTATTTCAATTCAGTCTGTACAGTTTTAGCACACAGACACATTCAGTTGAGTACAATTTCTTCTTTTGACCAGCTGGTGCGTTGCTTGCCCCGAGCTGTCTACCAGGAGCGGTCTTTACCATTTCCTGCACAAGTTTCATTAACTACTATAAAAAGAAGGGAGTGGGAAATAGCCGTGTTCAAAAGGGAAAGATAAATCACCCCATTACGCCTATTTGCGTGCCCAGGGTGGAAGATCAAGTGGCCCAGGCTTGTCCCAGCATCACCCAGGCAGGCAGGATGACACAGTACCTCTGTGCACAGGCACAACATCCCCAGCACTGCCGACATCTTTTGGCTGAACATTGTACGATGCTGCCTAGCCATAAGCCTGGGTGAGATGAAGGCTACCGGCACAAGTACGTGCTGCCAGCCTCCGAACAGAGCTGTTCTCCACTCCAACTGTTTGGGATGCTTTGCACCGTCAGCAGGACGGTAATCTCTGAAACTTCTGATCCCTGCCCCAAATCAAGACCTATTACAACCCATGGGACAGTTTCGGGGAACAAAACGCAGCCTGAAAGGCACCCCATGTCACATCAAGTCTACCCTCTTTTCTACTAGCCCAGTCACTAAATATATTAGGATTATCAACAGAAGATATTAAAACCTGTTGGGCAACACCAGCATTCTCTCCAAACTCCCTGTTTCACCACCCTCATTCCTCTGTTTTACTATGTATGTAGTGCCACTAGAATTTATAAGAGCTTCTAATACACTGACAGCAACTCCCACCTTGGATCAGCTGAAGCTGGTAACACCTCTATTTCATCGATACTCCACTGGTGTGATAAGTGCAGACCCAGAGGGGACCCCTCCATCAGCGGTGCAGCAGAACCACAGCAAAACACAACGGAACACTTGTGCACTTCATGCACAAAAGGCTCCGCAAGAGAGTGGAGTTGCTCCACGTAGGAAAATGCTTTTCTGCTGCTTCATCTTCTGCCTTCCTCTAGGCAGCACTGCAGACAGTGGCATTAAAATAAATCTTGTGGGTAAAAAGGAAAAGAAGAGATGAGAGTGATGACAACTCAAGGAAGAAACATCCTGTGTGGAATGGGACCAATATGTTCAAGAAGAGATTACACAGCTTGCAAGAAACACAGATAGCTGCACAGAATCACGTTTTGCTATAGAGAACTCAGACAGAAGCAGAACAAGATCAAAGTTAAATCAGGTTGAGGTCAAAACACCATTTTTAAACTTAAGTCATTCCAACAGCTGGCAAGAACCAGCCCATAGGATTAGATGAGATGTTTAAGGTTTTCTGCACAACTCGAGCTGGATGCAGACATTGGATAAAGGTCAACAGGACTGGTGTAACAGGAAACTGGATTTCCACAGCCATTCACAGCCTTCCTACCAAATCATGCAGCGTGTAATGAGGGCAGGCATGGTCCGAGACCTTTCAGCTGATCTTTTCCACACATGGTTTTCAAAGTTAGGGAACAGCAAAGTTTTAAAGTCTGCAAGATACTCATGTGTCCTGCCCAAACTATTGCCTTTAAAAAGATACGACAGAAGCTAAGAGACCACTAGTGATTACTATGATACTTCTTTGGAGACTAGAGGTGCAAAGAGGTATTTTGAAAGTTAACCTAAGTTTGAGAAAATACAAGAGATTGCTCCATACAACTAAGATGATGAGCTAAAAACTGCTTCATCCTTTGCAAACACTGCTGCAAAATTAGGGCTTAGCAATGTCTTGCTCCATATCTGGAGTCAAATATGAAAACTCCATGAGTTTTAGCACAGGCATACCAGAAAAGACTATTTCTTGGAAAACAGGAAAGGCTTAAGAGACAGGCAGCTTTAGCACAGTGACCCAGAAAATACAGATATGAGCCACTGGGCTGGAAAAATGAGATAGTGGTACTGTCCAGACATAGGAAGGATGGAACAGGAAGGAATACAGCAGAAGCAGGTCTTTAATCAATATTTGCACATGCAGATGCAATGAATAGGCCAAAATTTAAAATCTTTGAATCGACCACAAAGGCCTTTCTGCATTAGCCTGCACCATTCAAAAGATCTCTAGGTGGGAAGCAAGATAACGCAGACTCAGCTGCTAAAAATGCAAGATTAAACACCACTTGCCGGAGCACCTGCGATGAGCCCAAGCTCACTATAGCAAATAAATGAACGCTGATGCATCTGCTGTCTGACTCAAGAACAGAGTACAATCTTCCTTTCAGAGATGCAAATTAAGGTCACGTTCTACTGAACCAGAAATTCACTTTTGTCCATGAGATATCTTCTTACTGGTCAGAGAAGACCACTGGCTATGCAGTTTGCAAGCCAAACTAGAGCTTACAGGCACATAGACTAAGGAAAGAAAAAAAGGCAGTTTTATTTCCATGTTTCAGATGCAAACTAGCACAACTGGTACCTCACCAAGGCTAGCAATTTCTTTTTATTACTGATTAAAACAAGAGCAACACATAGGGAAGCAGAGGATTGTGCAAAACCACTAGGAGAAGATACTTGCAAGAATGCTGTGCTATTTTAAGGTTTTCACATCAGCTGAACCTGCTGTGGAAGCACACACACTCTCAGCATGTCTTTTCATGCACTGACAGAGACATGCTGAGGCTGCTGCAGCCTGTCCTTCCCTGCTGCATATTCTAGGCCCACCCTTCCCCTAGGGCTGGTGTTCGTTGGATCCCACTGAGCTGGCCGAGAAAAAACAAATCAATCAAAGATTAACCCCAAAAGTGAAAAATTGTTCCATTTTTAGCCAGCTCAACTCCCCGAAGCAGTTTGTGGAAGTCAGAGGAAGGTCTACAGCCCCTGGGGTGGGATGGTAGGATCACAGCAGCCCTGACAAAGGTTCATCAACCTCGGTGGGTCAGAACTAGCACGCAACTACTGTCAAGCACGTGCATGTGTTTTGCAGTAGGATCATATCTTAAAAATTCCAGAAAAATTTAACACAAGCCACAAGGGTGACAGTTCTAATTGAAACTGAACCAATTCTGCAATGGAAAGCAGCTAAGGAGCTGCGCTGATGAAGTGCGTGCACCCCAGGAGCAGAAGCCTTTAACGACGCAGTGATACTGTGCTGCTGGTTCGGGACCTCCAGATACAACCAAAACAGTTTCATTCAAGAAGCTGCAGAACACATAGCAGCTACAGGGCTGAGTCTGAGCGCTCTTAAGTCTGGAAGAACACCAACATTTCAAATGCTGTTCACAAACAGCTGGTACTCACGTGATGAAGTCCAGAAAACTTGCTAGGGGCTCATATGCATGGTTCCTCATGTGACGAAACTCCACCACCATCTTCTCCTTCAGCTTGTCGTCTATGACGGAGACGGTGAGCGGGGAGGCTTCATTGGCCAGGAAGTTCCCATAGTCTGTGCTCTGGAGGTGCAGTTTTAAGTCTGAAAAAGAAAAGAACAATTCTACTCTACAGGGTCGATGTTGGGTTTGGGGGGGGTTTTTTGAGCATACCTAAGAGCTCAGCACTTCTCTAGGCATTCTCTTCTCTGAAAGATCACCTAGACAAAACCCACATCTTAAGTCATACCCTTGTATTTCTGCTCGGTTTTATCATGGACTATCCAAACGCAGTAAGAGATCAGTGTTTCGCCACACCAGCCTTGCCCCATCTTAAAGACAAAACTGTGATGCTATCTGTGTAACAGCACACATCTGTGCCAGCTGTCCAGTGCGCTTGATCAAGGTGGAAGGTTACTGATTTTCTAGGAAGATTGCTAGAAATCTGGAGGAAAAAAAAAAAAAAAAAGAGAGAAAGAAACTTCAGCACTTCATCTAGCCAAAAGTGCTTCAGAGAAGCCTGCAACCAGAGCCATCAGGACCAAGAACTCATCTGCACCCACAAGCAAATTTCCTCAGATATAGTGATCTGGAGGCATCTGAAAAGCTTTTAAAGTCAAAAAGACACAAACAGCCACCTTGAAATTATAAAGCAGCTAGGTATTACACTATCAAGTTAGTCCAGCTAATTGCACTGGTAAAGAGAAGTCAGGCATTAAGAGGTAGAGAGGGGCTGGTAAAGAGGAAGGCCATTTAAATCCATCTCGTATGGCAGGCAACCCCTGCCCGGGATGGAGGAACACGCTCAGAAGCCTTCCCCTCCTCCAGTTTCAAGTAGAGGAAACCTTTGTTTCCTCCATTACCCTTGCTGCAGGTCAGGTGCCCAACCAAGCTGCAGTCCTGGCCAACAAGCAACCACAACATGCTGAGCTCTGTCAAGATAAAAGCCCTATTTGAGCCAAAAGCATTTAAGTGTCTCTATGGAAAAAATGAATCCAGAACTGAGGAATGTCATATAATCCTAGTCTACTAGTTGCACTGGTACATAATGTTCATCTCCCTTCAGCTTCACCTCAGAGGACCAGTTAGGTGAGGTCAAGCACCCTCCTAGGGATTCAAGACCTTTATGGAGAAAGGAGAGTAGCTGGAAGAGTTTAGTCAAACCAGATGTGAACACACCATCCAGAGAAAACAAAACAGACATTTGTCCCTGGTTTCTTTGAAGCAGGAGAACTGAGGTTGCCTTTCCCTTCCACTGAACCATACGAGTCCTCAGCATTATGGCACGAGCATCCACGGCACCCAGGTCAGAGCAAGGACTCAGCCTAGCTTGAGGAGTTTGACCTTTGGACATTACATCCAGCTCCAGGCACGAGCTGGAGAGCATCCTCTGCACCAGGCTCTAAGCTGACCTTGTACTGTACAGTGCAATACTGTCCTCAGCCCAAGGGTTGAAAGAGTCAAACGGCTTTCAAGCAGACTTTAATTCTTCTGGGTATTTCCAAGGAGGTCTAGCAAAGATGGTTTTGACCCAGCACTCTTTAGTTATGAAGATATTACCACTGCTAAGTCTCACAGGAAACAGATGGTGGTTATAGGGGGGCAAAGGCCAGAGACTTAAATAGCACTCAGTCCCTGTCATGTTTCTCAGCAGTTTACTGGAGAGTTTGGTGGTACTCCTACTTTTAGTAAGGAATCCTGGGCGCAGCAAAGAGAGTTACCCGCCCAACAACACACATCGTGGCTGAAGCAAAGAAAACTTAACCTAGATCTCTGCTCCCCAGACTATGCTGCAGCTAAACGGGTGGATTTTATTTTACTGAAACATTATCAACTTACGCTCGCACTTTCAAGGTAGGAAAACACGGTCTGAAAAACTCAAGACAGTGGAGTTTTCAACATGACCCTTGTCAAAGTCAAATACTAGATCGTGCCAAAACTCAGAATGCCCCTCACCTCCATGCAGCCTGCATAGGATTGTTACTGACAACAATCACTTGCTAAACCCTGTAAAAAGCCCAGCTCACAGGCAGCACCCTGCATGCAAAAAGTTCTCACCCACCTGTTTTGCAATTGCTTGATTTTTGAAAGCTAAGGTATAGTCACAGAGGGGAAATCTACCGGAATTATGTCTTAATGAGTTTCAGTCCCTCTTTTGAAAGCTCTTGGATGATGAGCTTTGGAGTCTGAGTGGAAATTAAGTTCCACTGTCAGATAACCGCTTTACTAGTTTGCTTTTAGTGGAGGCTGGAGAAAGCATGGAGCACAATTCAGCAGTTGCTCAATGAATACGAGAGAAAAGCTAAGAGTATTGCACCCATAAAATCAGAACGCAAAGGAAGGCACAGGGGACTGCAGTAGCTACATTCATATACCTCCTACTTTCAGTTCTCTGTAACTGTGCAGAGCTACAATAAAAATTAAGCCTGCCCAAAAAGGCATGTGATGTTGTTTTGCAGCTATACAGGACCTTGGAGAGGAAGCAGCTATTGCATATCCTACCGTGCCTTACTTCAGCAGGGAAGCTTCCAAAGGTTTCAGCTTGTTTCCTCAACTCCAATTCTGCTCCTCCAAAACCATCAGCTCCTTTTGGTATCATCATGACTTGCAACTCCGCTCTTACTTTTGAGGCTGCAAGCAGCAACCTTGTTATCGGGTCTCTTGATGCTAGAGACACAGTGACACAAGAAGTAGTTTGCTGTACCATCCACTTCCCAGGAAATCGGAGCTGCATCGCATTTAGACCAGAATCACACAAGCTGCATGCTGAGCCTTGCAGCCTCTCCCTCAACAGCTCTGAGCAAGCTCCCATTAGCTGCTTGGCCAGAGCATTTTGTCCTGCTCGGTGAGGGGGGGTGCCCCCCCAACCCCACAGCACAAGAGCCAGCACAACATTATGTTGCAACTGGAATAAGGGCCATGTTTATATAACACTTGGAATTAATTTTTACAGAGAAGGCCAGCCACAAACTGCAGGAACTGAACTCTTCTGAATCTCTTAGCATCCAAGCAGACAGAACAGAACATATTTTCCAACAATTGGACCGGATTTATAAACCCTGACTCAATGCATCCCACAGCGTACCAGTGCCTGTCCTCCTCCAGCCACTGGGCCAGTTACCGAACCACAGCCAAGAGGGTTTGGGAGTTTTTAGTAAGACTATTCACGTCAGGCTTCTCAGTTAAGAGCAGACTAATCCCGTGGTTTCACAAATCCCCTGCCAGAATTGCTGTCCCAGTAGCACGGTGACTAATAAGTGGACCCACTGCTGAGCAGGCCTCAAGCTCTCCAAAAGCTCAAGCTCCTATTTCCTAACGCTGCCACTGGCAGCGACAGCAGCACCTCAGCAGGGGCAGCTGTCAGAGATCCCACACGCAACCGGTGTCATGTCGACATGCAGCAAGTCTTCTGCCATGCCTCTTCCCCGGCCGCCTGCTGAAAGAGAGAGAGACCTGCGCCCAGAGCCCAGCCGCTCCCGATGAGCTCCTCCAGATGCTGACTAACAGCAGCACACGGCCTCAACCTAGCAACTGCTTTTGAGAGGTATGTTTGCCTGTTTCGGCATTTTTTCCAAGCAGTTCACGCACTTTAAGAAACAGACTGAGCCAGCATTTGGCAAGGGAGTGCCTGCATTACCACAATGCTTTTGCTTTCTCCCCCGCAAAAACTGGTGAATTATGGCCAGGTCACAGTTCTCAGAAAGCTGCCTTAAGCAAGAGCACAACAGCTTGTCAGAATGGCAGCCTTTTTCTGCTGAGTATTCAAATAGGGTAGCGCTCAAGATTACCGTGACATATACTTACAGCCACCTCCTTCCAACTCTTGGATCAGGCCCTCTGGTTTCGATGCAGCTGGCTGTGTATGAGGCATAAACACAACTGAAGCTTAATTCAAGGCACCGCTGTGCGAACACCACACCTCAACATTTGAGATGACATTTTCTTGAGAGACTTCAGATCCACAGTAATATTACTATCCTCTCCTGCAAGTTTGCTTTGTCATAGCAAGGAATCAACCCATCACTCAGTCTTTCAGACATCTGCCCGTCATCAAAGCCTGTCCTATAAAAGCCCCACTCAGACAGTGACCCAATACCCCACCAGCTCGTACTTCTACCCTTTCCTTCTTCAGCATCTTCCCGTAGCTGCACTGCAGAGCTCTGAATCAAATTAAGGGCTCAAGCGCTTTCAGGCAAGGACTGATTTGTCTTCTCATGCACAGATATAGAATTAGCTTTCGCAGCTTCTGAGCTGAACCGATGTTTTCACGCAATTATCTGCTGTAATCTCGACATCTCACTCCAAAGCACCCGGGGCCATCACTGCATATATAAAAATTAAAATATCGTTTGCCATCTCCCAGGCCTGAGGCAGTAAAGTAGTTGAGGGATTACACAGCAGTCTGCTGATCAGCTATATCACCCACGTCTCCCTTCAGATGACTGCAGTCATTACCATTTGGCTTGTTGCTGTCTGTTTACAGCCACCTCAGACGCTCCTGAAGCTGATTCTCTGAAGTTTCACCCGAGAAGCACCCAGAGACCCTTCATTCCCTGCAGAATTTAAGGCCTTTTCTGTGATGGCACACCACCAGCAGTGACATGCCACCTTCCCTCTGCTGTCAGGCAGCAAATTCCTCCAGGCCACAGCTGGACACAGAGAACTGTTGTCTTCGGTCCTTTCCTCCACCAGCATCTCACCACGAGCTCTTCACCTCTCCGAGATGTCCTCAGCACCAAACAGCAGCCTGTGTTTCTAGCCCAGCCCTTCCTGGGGTTGGACTCACCCCCCTCAGAGCTTCAAACCCAGCACAGCCAGGACTTATTTCCTTAGTAGTCCTCTCCTGATCCTTCCAAAAGGTGAGGTAACCTCTCCTAATCTGCCTGCATCTCCAGTAGGCTTCACCCCTATGTAACCCCTTCCCCGGCCCCCCCACCCCCCCCAAAAAAGCAGACCGCACTAAGTCACGGCTTGTAACCTCAGAGCTCCAGTACACTAACAGCACATCAGCCCGGCACCCAGCACAGCAGTTTAAGGGAGAAGCAACAAATCATTCAGAAGCAAAGAGAAACGAGGCAGAAAGCAGTCTCACACTGCAGGAGCC